ATAGATCAGCAAAAGGAAGTGAAATTCACAAAACGATTAGAGGCATATACGATTTGGCACACGTAAATGTACTTGAGATGATAACAATAGAAGACGATAAGTACTATGTAATAAATCAATGGTAGAAGGGTTGTCCTGGTTAGAGGACAACCCTTCTAAATCTACAATCAGAAGATCAGAAGATTGCAGCTATCCTTATTGCTTGCAAAATTAGTGATCGTAATAATATTCATTTCATTATCGCCATAATCGAATCATTAGGACATGATCCAAATAGTTTTATTTTGAACAAAAATTCCATACACATTGTTTGACAAAACCTGCGATCACAAAAAGTAGAAGAGTTTTTGTTCAAACTTTGTGAGCTAAATGCAGTTTGTTTGCATTTGGATGAAAAATTGCTGCCAGCTTTAGAAGGGAAACAAAATGTGGACCGTCCACCTATTACAATCTCAAATGAGGCTGTCAAATGAGCAACTACTCGAGGTACTTGCACTTAATAATGGTACCGGAAGTGCACAGGCATCTGCTATTTGTAAATCAATTTTTGAATAGGGTTTGCCAAATCACGTGCAAGCTTAAGTTTACTGTTTTTACACAACAGCAGTAAACATTGCTCGTTTTAACGGAACTTGTTCAATTATTGAAAAACATTTAGAAAGAGATCTTAATTATTTAGCTTGCAGACATCACAATTACGAAACTATTCTCAAAAGTGTTTTCCATTCTAAGATTTGCAAGTCAGAAAGCGCAAATGTTAAACTATTTCAACGATTTCAAAAGTAAACATTGAAAATAAACAAACATTGATAAAATCCGAAAATAAACATTGATATTTTTACAGTTGGCTTAGAAAATGAAAAAGTAAGAAAATCGTTGACACGGATGATGTGATACGAATTACAAGTTTCCTTAATAAGATTCGTAAGGATACTAATATGGCGTTTACATTGGCCGAAAATGGCTCATTTTTAATGAGCCATTTCAAAGTGTTTACATTCGTTGCAATTCGTTTGTTTTCATTTCAAACAGCTGATTTTTGAACTTGCCTGTTGATTCGATTTTTGGCCTGTGCTAAAAAAATGTTGCATGAAGATTAAACATGCCTTCTAACCTTACAATATAAACTTAGCACATATGTTTAACTTCAAGTAATTAATTTTTGGAAAGCAGAAGTTCTAATAAGAGGTGCATGGTTTTTAACAAAATTAGTTTACTTTTTGTAAAAAACAGCTTTCTCAAAGCAAAGATAATGTACATTGTGACCGAAAAGTTTCCGGAAATTTTAAATAAAACGCAAAATTCTTAATCTTCATCAATATTTATTTTATCTCCTTCAAAATATGCTCCATTAGAAGCGATACACAAATGCCAACGTTTCTTCCAATCATCAAAACATTTTTTATAGGCGCTTTCCGGTATGGCTTTGAGTTCCCTCTGCGAATTCTGTTTTACGTCTTCTATGGATTCAAAACGCGTTCCTCTGAGTGGTAATTTGAGGTTGGGAAACAGGAAAAAGTCACACGGTGCAAGATCAGGTGAATACGGTGGCTGTTCGATGGTATTTATTGAATGTTTGGCCTTAAAATCGTTGATAATGTTGAACAAATTGAGGTGAATCGGAACAAGCCGGGCGTTGACACGTCGCATACACAAATTGTCCACCAAAATCAAACGAGCCATCTCACGACCGATGCCTAGCTCTCGTGCTATCTCTCTAACACTCACATGAGGATTTTTGAACACGATTTCCTTTGCCTTTTCAATGTTTTCGTCGGTGGTAGAGGTCGAAGGTCGTCCAGAACGCGGCATGTCTTCGACGGTCGTACGACAGTCCTGAAAGGCTTTGTACCACTCATAAACTTGAGTTTTCGATAAAACTGATTCCCCATAAGCCTTTTGTAGCATTCGCAACGATTCTGCACACGAAATTTCGTTCGAAAAACAAAATTTGATGCAAACTCTTTGTTCAATATTTTTTTCCATTGTTTTTTTCGCAACGCACTACTGAGGTGAACTGGTTTCAACAGCTGCCGTAAACGAACTGTCTGACAGATCGCGCTCATTTTTGGCATAGTAATTTAAGGACAGTGCTGCCAAACTACATTAAACTTAAAATATCGAAAAATATACAGCGCGCGAATTTTAAATGAGAATTTCCGAAAACTTTTCGGTCACAATGTATAAGTAGATATGAAATCGCCTATAGCAAAAATGTACTCATTTTTCCAAGCTCTATTATTCAACTTTTGTTCAGCAACCAAAAAATTGGTAAAGCTTTTGATACATGTTGAAAAGACCAAAGCTGTTGAATTGCTTAAATTGATATTTTTAGCAACATTCTGTTACAAACAATGCTGATAATTTGGTACTTTATGCAAAAACAAATTACCTTGTATGAATATTAGAGTACTGCACGCGCGCATTTGATTTCAGTTTCAAAGCATTCTATTGTGTTTAGAATGGTAGCATACTCTCACTCTCAACGAACAAATACGAATGTATAGGCATAAAAACAAAATGGAATGGAATAAATATTTGTTTCGTTTGTTTAGAGTACTCTAACTCTAAACATTCTAAAAGTAGTTGAAGTAGTTGGGAGTACTCTAAGCATTTGATTTTCAGTTCATACAAAAATTATGTGTTTTTAAATAGTAAGACCCAAATTTATTTATTTAAGTTTTGTTATTAATTAAATATTATTTAAAATGTTGATAATAGTAATTTGTTGATTACATATATAATATGACTTAATATATTAATTAAATATAAAAAAAATTTTGAACAAAAATTTATTTAAAAAAATTATAATAAGTTTTTTTACAGTTTTTACAGTTCACAAATTTAATTTAATATGCAAATTAAATGTTGAGCATCGTCTGACTTAATTCCTCTTTTTCAAGATTGTTGTGTAAAACATGATTTGATTGATAGATCTTTGATTAGATGAAATCAATGTTCCTTTTTCTGATATTAAGTTCCGAGCAACTGAAAAAACCCTTTCCGAAGATGCACTACTTGCTGGTGTTGCAAATAATTTACAAGAAACTTTGTAAAGTAGAAATTCTGAAGGAATTCTTAAGAAATTTCTAAAAATCTCTCTTGTCATAAATAGATATTTTTACCATATCATGCATAAAATTATTTTCCAGGAAAAGGTAAATATGTGAAGCAATTTATTTTCTTACATCATAAAAAACTATCGACAAAGAAGGAACCGTTTTTTTAAGTTAACCTTTTGCATTAGATCTACCTGTTTAAACAACTTTTGCATTGAAAATAATAGAAAATTAAACCTAATTTACGTACTTTGTTGTTGCAATTATTGCAAATCTCTACGCACATCCAACTTTCTTTACTTTTGCGCAGGCAACCAAACGCACACAAAATACTTTGCAAAAATAGAATTATTTGAAATACTCTAAAAGTGATTGAAATACTCTAAAAGTGATTGAAATACTCTAAAATATTTGTTTATTTGATTTTAAAATTCAAAACAAACGATTATAGAGAACAAATCAACCCCCATTCCATTGAAACGAATGCGGCGGAAACGAATTCTATCGGACCGTTTCTGTTATTCGTTCGTATTCGCTTTAGAAATAATTTGTAAATATGGTACACATTTGAAAATAAAACGAATGACCGCAAAAACGAATGTTTTGATGCAGCACTTTAATGAATATTGTTGTTTTTAACATTGTTTATCTTATTCTTTTTGTTTTCAATATGGGTATAGAGACAAGAGTTTTTACTTCGTTTTAATAAAAAAAAAAATGCAATTATCTTGCTGCCGAATATTGATATGAAATGAAATAATAAACATGCATCAAAATAAGCAATGCTGTTTTTTTTGTTATTAATGCATTGAATCAAAATTACAGCTGTTATCCAAAAAAAAATCCTTAAATTTGTTATTTTCCTAATGTTTAACTCGATTCTAATAGCAATGATAATAATACATATACATATGTACATAAGTACTGTAACGATACTCTTTTGTCGCAGATGATGCTG